ACCGGGAGGGTGGGGGCTGGGTGGCAGGGCGCCGCAGTGAAGCCGAAAGTTCCATTCGTCACCTGAATGAGGGAAGCATATGATACACCAATTCATAAAAGGGTTCTGGAACGCAAAGCAACAAGGCAGCCCAGCTAGCTCAGTCGGTAGAGCATGAGACTCTTAATCTCAGGGTCGTGGGTTCGAGTCCCTCGCTGGGCGTGTGTTTTTTTTTCTTCCTGAGAAAAGAAGTATATGTCTGTGTATGTATTTGTATGACTGAAACATGCTGTACCTCACGAACTGACACAACATTGTAAACTGACTCTACTTCAAAATAAAATTGTGAGGTGAGTGAGAAAGTCTTGTAGCAACTCGTCATGAGACTGCCTATCTTCCTAGCTTCCAGGAGGATCTCGGGACATTCTGCCAAGGCCTGGGGCCACCTGCAGTTGATCCTTGCCCGCGTGGACCATGTGGAAGGTGCGAGGTTGTCAGGAAGCCTGCGCAGAGCAGTTCCTCTACGGAAACCCAGTGTCTGTCTTACGCTTAATGACACATCTCTGTTTGGGCTAGCCATACATCAAGTGCTCAAAAGCCATTCATGGCTAGTGGAGACCATATTGGATAGTGCAGTTCGGTAACACGCAAAAGTCAGAATCATTGGGTTACAGAAAAGGAAAATTTCATGAGTTATCACGAGTGCGTTGCGGGGGTGGGGAGGAGTCTGGGCGGCCATAAGGCTTGGGTTACTGGAGGACAGTGGTGAAGCAGTTCCCTGGGGTTACAATGAGACATAGTAGTAGAGAGAATGGAAGGGCACCGCAGATGCATGAATTTACCCTTGGCCCTTCCGGTCGTCTTCCCGTCCCCACTGCCCCTCAACAGAGCTCTGGCTGCTCTTGGACTACAGTGTTGGACAGAGGCTAGACTAGGGCTCTTTTATTTCTCTCACTACTGGATGCCACCTGTGGCATGTGTGCCACTCACTGGTTTCAGTCTGCCCAGCCATGTTCCCAGGATACTTTTATGTTTCTGCCCCATTCCCCCACCATCATTCACCTGGAAAGATCTATCTTTTTAAACCCTGCCTCTTTCCTCACCTTCTGCTTCTGACAATTCCTTTTCCCCTTTCTTTCTAATCCTTTTTTAAATTCTGGGTTTCTGAAAAAAACTGTTTTTATATCATAGTGGTTTTTCAAGCTGTCCCTTAAATTCTGTCCTAATCTTGGCTTCAATTTGTTTATTTCTCTCTCTCTTAATCCCCACTTCTTCCCTGCATTTGCACCCAGCACTCCTTGTCTTCATCCTTCCTCCATACATATTGACTTCCTCTTCTCTAAACTTGGCTTATTACTTTCAACTTGGAATGGGAGCGCTAAAAGTGACAGAGGAAACTTGGAGGTACATTTCCTAGAGCGGAACCAGGTTCATTAATTGGTACCAGATCGGGGTCTAGTTGGGCTACTTTTAGAAAACCCTCAGATGTCTCTTGATGAGAAATAGTATCACTCTTGATTTCCAGTTGAGGAAACAGAGGCTCTAAAGAGGTATAGGGACTTGCTAAGGTAGGTAGCAGAGCCAAGTCTCCAACCTTGTGTTCCTTCCACTGCAACATAATTCAGTGCAAATACTGCAGCTGCCATTTTTATCACTTCTCTGTACCCTCTCTCAAATCCCCGATGCTGTATGGTGAATATGATATGATTTGCTTAGTTCATTAAAAGTTATCCTAAGAGCTCTTTAGAAGGATGCCCCAGTACTGACAGCATCTTCTGTCATTTCCTAATTGTAGAGTTTATTGCCTGTCTCTCCAGTTTGTTTTGGATATGAATGTACTTATCATGGGAGCTGTTTCATAAAATGACAATAATCCACTTAAGATAAGGAATTTATTTATTGCTCAAAGAATATAGACTAGAAAACCTTAATACAGCTGAAAAAAAACAAACTGACCTATGTTTTTTTCCAGGAAGTTTTCACAGGCATCACAGATATCTGGTTTTTCCTAACCTTTTCTGATGGTGGTTAGGATGAAGAGGCTCAGAATAAGGATAACAGCTCAGAATTTCATCTCTGCTCTGACTATTCCCATAGCTGCCAAATAACAATGAGACACTGCCCTAAAAACACAACAATGGAACAAAGATAGCAGCAGCCAGAAATCATCCCTGAGCCTCTAAATGCCTGAAAAGAGACAAGACACAACCTAGTATCAACGCTGCCAAGTAGGCAATTAAATTCACTGCTGCAGGTCCTAGCCCTTGGTAGATATGGCTTAATTTGTTCTATGTTTCAGGAAATACTTAAACAGAAGAAAAAGCTAAAGCATATGCAAACCAGCTGTATGGTCTTCAGGTTAGTCTGTCTGCCTTTGGCGAGCATGGCTGAATCATCTGATGGCACCACAGAATAGAAGCAATGTAAGTAACTCTGCAGTTGATAAGAGAAGAAACGTCCCATAGTTGAGTTGGGTCTTTAGGTCTACTACTTTTTTAAAATCTTTTTTTTCCTACACAGCTACAAACTTTGAATATAACTAGCAAAAAAAAAAGGTTCAGAGAAACAAACACGAATGATTCAATATAAGGCAATGAAAGGAGTAGAAACAGGCACAATTTCAACTAGTCTTCAGTCTGGATGGTGAATCCAAGGTTTGTGTGCCAGCCTTAGGGCTCTCTTCACTTCTTCAGAAAATTGTTCAGTTGTTCCCGTAGGGAAATGAGCTGTAGGGAGAGATAAGAAAAAACATGAAAAATTCACTTGAAATCTTAAGTTCTGTTACTTGGTCTAGAAGTTACTTACACGAACCAAAAAGAAAGACTGTAACTTGGTATTTATAAGGTTATCTTAGTCTTACAATGTTCCAAAGAAGAGTGCCACGGTCAAGAACACAAACACAATGATGTCCTTCATTATGCCAAATTTATAAAAGGAAGTTTTAAAACTGAATGTGCTTAAATATGCTTGCTGTTAAAAATTTGTACTTCTGGGAAGAGATACAGGAGTCACAGCTCACTGTAGGGTAGAAAGAGATGGGATCACTGTAGCCATAGGCTAAGAGCCAGAAGATAAGGCAGTTGAGATAACCTCTTGCCTCACTGAACACAATAGATCTTAAACTGAGCCTTAGCTGCTGCTTCCTGCCACATTATGAGACACTTGAAAACCAGATCAGAGTCCTAACCAATCAGGTACCTGATGATGCTTTACTCATCCTGATGCTTTCTAAGTCAGAAGCCCTGAAACTTTTGTGATATAGGATTCCTTTTTTTTTTTACTTGAAATGGCAAAGTGACCAATAACACGCAGAGAGATATACTGTCTTTGAGACAAAGACTGTTTTTGAATATTATTCAACTTCGGTCGCCCCATACCAGTGTGGATTTTATCCTGTAAAATGACAGGAATGGAGCATTATAAAACCATCCTGTGCTGTACATCAGCTACCGAACTGCTATCATTGCTACCTGCAGTAATTTACAGCATGTTTTCACTCAAATGCTAACCATGATTACAACCACTGATTTCTCCAGTTCTCTCTCCTTTGTGGGCTCTTTCTCCTCCCACCACCTCCTAAAGGGAGGTTTTCCCCCAGGTTTAGACTTCTTGCCAAACAGTCAACCTGGCTAACTCATCTTATCCTCCCAGCTTCAGTGATCATTTCTATGCGAGAGGCACTCTCCAATCTCCCATTTTAAAAAGTGCTTCCAACTCAACTCAGCATCTTCTCCATCTCCCACCCTGCAATAATCCTCTTAAAGTTGTCTTCATTTCTGTTATTGTCACACCATCTTCCAGTTATCCAGGCTCCAGACTCCTCTTTGTTCCCCTTTTTGTCTTGTAAACCTAATCAGTTTTTAAGTTCTGATTTTTTCTGTCACTTGCATCTTCCTTTAGTCTTTCCCCATTCCAATTTCTAGATACTGCTGGCAGAGAAATCTTCCTGAGTTACTCCCCAGGTAAAAAGAGCTTTTATGGCTTATTATGACCTACATCAAAAAATCTAAACTCTCAAGTCTGGCAACACCACCTCTGAGCCATTGTGCATGCTACTTTCTATATAGAATGCCTTCATTTCTCTCTTTATTAAAACCCTACCTACCTCTTAAGGCCCCAGTCAAATATCATCTCTCTATGAAGTTTTCCTTAATCTTCATGAACAAAAATGAGTCCTCATTTCTTTAAATTTCTATCCCTTTCATGGATTTCTTCCCAACTGGAGGCAGAGACTGTGTTGCAAGCATTTTATAGCTCCCTGTGGAACCTAGCTTAAAGTAGACACCCAATAAATCTATGTTGAATAAATGAGCTAACAAAGAGGGCTCTGAGTGAATAAAGTTTAAAGCTGTATTTCTATGTTGAAAATAGCACTCCCCAATACTAAGTACTTACATAGAGGAAAACAAAGATGTTTAGTGGGTGCTAAAGCAATCCTGGCATTAACTGTTCACATGGCTGTTTATAAGCAGTACCTGGGTGAGTGATTTGCTGAGGGGAAGGGAATATATAGAACATAAGAATTCTCCTGGCCTTACTAGTATGGGGATGGGCATGGGGGATGGAATCACTACCTTAAGAGCCCTATGCTAAGTCCATCCTCATAATACGACCTCCAGTCTCTTTAAAATTGTTACCGTCAACAGTACAGGGCTGGAATCAGCATACATTTCAAAACAGTTACTTGGCCTTCACTTATCCTACATTGCCCTCTTCTCTTTTCACTCTGCTCACTCTCTTGTGACTTTAAACAATACAGTCATTCAAGTTAGAAATCTGGCATACATCCTTACCACTCCTGTCTCCTTCAACACCCAGTAATTGACCCAAGTCCCATCAATTCTGCTTTTAAAATACATTCTCTCATATATAAATGTTCATAGCAGCATTATTCATGATAGCCAAAAAGCAGAAACAACCCAAATGTCTACTGATGGATGAACGGGTAAACAAGATGTGATATATCTGTACAATGGAATATTATTCAGCTGTACAATGGAATAAAGTACGAATACATGCCACAACATGGGTTAACCTTGAAAATATTACACTAAGTGAAAAGCTTGATACAAAAGATTATATATTATGTTTCCTTTTATATGAAATAACCAGAATAGGCAAAGTAGACTAGTAGAAAGGAGACCAGTGGTTGCCTAGGACTAGGGGGTGGGAGGGATTCAGAAGAAACTGGAGTAACTGCTAATGGGTACAGGTTTCTTTTTGGGGTGATGAAAATGTTGCAAAACTGACTGTGGTGATGGTTGCACAATTCTGTGAATATACTAAAAGCCACTGAATTATACAATTTAAATGGATGCACTGTATGGTATGTGAATTATATCTCAATAAGCCTGTTATAAATACATCTTTATTGCAGTTGAAAATGTGTATAGTCTTTCCATCTCCGCTGCTGCCTCCTTAGTCCAAGTCACCACCATCTCTTCTTAGACTACTACACAGCCTCCTAACGGACCTCCCTGCTTCCAGTCCTCCCCTCCCACAATCCATTCTCCAAATAATCAAAGTGATCTTTAAAAAAGTTTAAATTAAATGTGACTCTCCTGCTTAAAACTCTCCAAGGACTTCCCATTGCACTTAAGACTACATCCCATCCTCCTTATCATGGCCTGCAAAGGCCTATACAATATGGTGTCTGCCTACTTCTTTAACTTCATGTTAAGTCACTCTTCCTTGCTTTAAATACTCCAGAGGTCCTCAAAGAAGCCAAGCTGTTTTCCAAAGTGGGAACTGGCATATGCTCCACCCAAGAAGCTTTTCATACACTTTTTGCCTGGACTTATCCTTCACGTCTCAGCTTAAATATCACCTCCTCAGAAAGGTTGACCATGTTCCCCCCAATTTAATTCAGAACTCTCTTTATTCAAATAGCACCACTGACTTTTTCTCCTTCACAGCTCTTCTTTATGATTTGCACCTTTCTATTTGTATAATTTGTTTACTGCCAATCTTCCCTGCTAGACTGTTAGCTCTATGAGGACAAGTACTGTAATCTCTCTTATTCAACATTGTGTGTACATCCATTGCTTTTCACTCAACAGGCATTCAGTATCTGCTGAATGAGTGAATTTTCACAAAGATTGTTCCAAACTGCTACCCTCATTTAGAAGATTTATCCACTACTATGCCTGTGAAAAGAACAGCCAGAGATGAGATTGGGGGTGACATGGGGGATTCTTTGTATCAAATGTTTTCTGGTTGATGTGAAAACACACTTCTCACCTGCTCAGTTTTTTGTTTTTCCTGTAGCTTAAGCTGCTCCAGCACAGACTGTAAGTGATTCTGGAAAACAAATTGTATAAATGGTAAATGCGGAGTCTCAAAGGAAAAGAGAACCAAGAGAGACAGAGTTTGGAAAATAATTTGATAAGAAAGAAGACCGTCAGTTGTAACAAAAGAGTACTTTTAAAAAAAATTTAGAATATAAAAACTACATCCCCCAACTACAGGGCCATCCAATTTGATTTTATACACCCTACACAGCAATTTTTCCTTGCCCTAAAACAAATAGTTGGAATGCCTTCATGTTAACCCTTTTCTAGTTTTGCACAAATCCGCTGACTGTGGTGAATTATTTAAAAAGCTGGCTTGGAATTTGGTGGTGACTCCTTCATTCCCCTGCACTAGGGCAGAATATTACCATTCTTAATTAGTACTGCATGCAACCACAATCATAATAATGCCATATATCTGTATCTTTCAAAGTATGTCCACATCTATTATCTCACTTGGTTATTCTGAAGGACAACATTCTAAATAAATATAGTCCTGTGTCAGTTTGCTCCCCTTCAATGACTATAGCTCTACAGAAAAAGAAATCTAGCAAGGGATTCTCCAGATGCTTCAGAATTTCCCTCACTATAAAAAGGGAAGCAAACATTGCCTAATCATACATTTTCCTTTTGCTAAAATGTGTACTAATAAAATATGTATTAATAAAAATAAGCACAATATTAATTCTTATTCAAGCATGCATCACAAAATTTAAAAATTAATTTGATTAATTTTCTTTTACTACAATGAATACACATTGGTACAGAGCAACAGGGTTGAATCTATGCCTTACCACTTACTGTGGTTCCTGGCAAGTTACTTAACCTCTCTGAACTTTAATTTCTTATCTATAAAATGGGAATAGTGACAGTACATAGGTTTCAGGGATGTCAGGATGAAATGAGGTAATACATGTAAAATGCTCAGCTCTGTATGCACCTTTCACATAGTCAATGCTCTTACTGGCAATTATTTTTTTTAATTTTATTGAACATATTGGCAATTATTATCTCAAGTTTCCTGGTCCCTTCCCAAAAATGCATATATGAGATGATCAAAACTACTTAGGTAAAAGAAAATGGGCTATCTTTTATTAGTGGTTTCTAAGAGGTTGTTCAGGATCACAAATGAACAAGAAAGCTGCACAGAGATGACATGAGTGGAAACACAAAGATGGGATTCTGAAAGTAAGATATCAAGATATCTTTATATCAGCCAACAAGAATTTACCTTGAGAGTCAGATTTTCCAGTTTCATGATGAGCTCCTTCTGTCTTTGTGCCCTGCATCGAATCTCGTGGAGCTTTTTCTCCATGTAATAGGTCTGCTTGTGAATTTCCATGACTAACAGAGATAGAAAAAAACTTCATGTATCTAAACATAGCCTTAATTAATGGACCAAAATCCAAATCAACTAAGAAAAACTCCACTACACAGTTGAGCAACAGCTTCTCAAACTTTGCCTTGCATCTAATGCGTGTTTAGAGTCTGTCTTTAGCACTGCCACCCACTCTGTCCCACCCCTTTGTTTTTCCCTCTTAACTTACTCATTGAACTGGCTCCTTCCTTTGCTTCATACTGGCCAGATTCAATGAACTTGGCCTGTAGTTCCCTTTCCAGATCCTCCTCATAATAATATTCTTCCTCTTTGTCATCTTCATCCTCATCATCATAGTCATCCTTCTTCTCATCATCATCTTCATCCTCATCATCACTGTTACTGCTAGAATTACTGAACGTCTTCGGAAACACATCACATTCTATGGGTTTTAAGCAAAAGGAAGGTGAAACTATCTGAAGCTTTTCAAATGACTCCCACTCCAGCTGCAACTATACTTCCCCTCAAGTTTACTAGGCAACTAATGAATTTTATAAATAATTTTTCTCACAGGAAGATTATTCCCTTTATAAAACAAGGATAGGAAATACAAAACATTGTAGCATTCATGCTTGTATTCAATGATCAAATATTTAGAGAATCCAAGGGCCCACAGGAATTTAGAATAGCAGGAGTGGATGGGATATTAAAACCCCAATCTAAAACCCCTCAAGTTGAGGGGCCAGTAAGAGGAAAGAAGAGAAAAGGCACCTTTTTCCTGTTATTGGTCTGTGAGTCTATGGACAATGGTCCTACACACAGTCAACACCTGCCCCCTCTGAAGCTTCTGCCTTTATTTGCCTTTATTGATGTACCTGGTGAGATATGACCCTGCTTACAGCCACTTATTCCTGGAGCTATCTCAAAGCCTGGAATGGAGCCTTGACATTCTATTTCCTGGGTTTCACCTTCAGCAATGACCTCCCATCCTGAAAGGAGAGGCAGTCAAGGAAAAAGCAGAAAGAAAGGAGAAGGCAAAGTTGAAAGGAAATAGGCTCTCTGGCTGAAGTGTTATTTAATTTAGTCCAACTCCAAGCCATTTGTATCCGGATTTCTAGAATGGAGAAGTGCCTTATATTGAATTATACAAGTAAATAATTTCTATCACATGAATGTACTGTTCCTAGCTAGAAAGTAACATTTCCCCAAATCCGAAGTTCTATACATTAAAATCAGCACACAAATACCAGAAGTGAGGGCTTGTCACCAAGTGCACATAGGATGAAACAGACTACACAGAACATATTTAGTATAAAAGGATACGGGCACAGATAGCTTCAGCATCTGAAGACAGCAATCTTTTCACTTCCTTTTCCACTTCAGGAGATTCAGCATACTGAACCAAAGTTGGAGGAGAGGGGACACCAGGAACGTCATTTAACACCCTGTGCTTTGCAGGAATGCCCTTTTCCTACATATAAATGGAGTCAAATAATTAGATCTCTTTAAGATACATTCAAATTTCTACTCTAAATAATACTATTTATAACAGAAACTTTGATCAGAGTCTATATTTTTGCACAGTAAACTTATTTTTTCCCAAATTACATGAGACATTTAATCTTTTCAATCTGCAACTCTGTATTAAAGACTTCTCTCAAAGGCACAACCCTTAAGCCTCAGTTATTAATTATTTGCCCTGACCGACATTGGCAAAGAACTGTAATTCTTTATTTGTTAGTTAGAAGTAATTTTGTTTAAAGATCTAAATTCCCAGATTTCACTTCCCCACATCTATATTATTAGAGAGTTTCCTATAAAACTGGGTCTTAGCCACACGTTCTCCCTTAAATCCAGTTTTAGACAGTTATCTCCACAGCAACCAATTCGTCATGCCACAAATAGAAATTAGAACTTTGAGGGGGAATAAGCGATTGCAAACAACTTCTGGTAAAAGTGAACCCTGGCTTCCAAGAAATGTTTTTTAAATAAATATGAGAGAAAAGAAGCAGATTAAAACACACAGGGTCACTGATCAAATTGTATCTTTTGTTTCTGAAATTATCAGAAATTAAACAATGAATTCATTTCCAATGAATCAAATTCAGGGTATGTGTATGCAAGTGGGGATTACAGGTGAGAAGGAAAGCTTGAAAGTCATCTTTACGATTTTTTGGATTTGTTTGAAATTAATGAACTATGAAATAAAACACAGTATAAGTAAATAATATAGTTATATTGTGATTGCTCTACCTTACTAACGCTGACTTCTTTGGTTTGTTTGACATCAACGACCTACGAAATAAAACAATAAACAATGAAGTTATATTACAATTGTTTTACTTTACTATAGCTTAAAGACTTTCAGAACTATTCTTAATGTAGTTTTACACTCAGTAGGCACTCGATAAATCTGTGGACTGACAGTATAAAGCCAAAGGGAACATGTTCATAGATTGAAAGACTCAACATAATAAAGCTATCAATTCTCCCCAAATTGAACTATAGGTTTAATGCAATTCCCATCAAAATTCCAACAAATTTTTCAACAGACATAGACAAACTTATTCTAAAATGTATATGGAAAGGTATAAGCTCTAGAATGGCTAAAACAATAAATATAAAATAAAAAATACAGTGACAAGAGTCTTCTTGATTTCAAGACTCACTGCGAAGCTACATTGTGGAATCGGTGGAGTGAACCACACATAGATTAATGGTACAGAATAGGGAACTCAGAAAAAAAAAACTCACACAAATATGCCCAACAGATTTCTGACAAAGATGCAAAAGCAATACAGTGGAGGAAGGGTAGCCTTTTTAACAAGTGGTGCTGGAGCAACTGGACATGCAAACGTAAAATAAAAAACGAACAAACAAAAAACAACCTTGAACTAAACCTTACACCTTTTACAAGAATTAACTGAAAAACTGATTGTAGGCTTAAATGTAAAATGTAAAACTTTTTGAAAAAAGAGTTATTTAGGAGAATTCTTCAGGATCTGGGCTAAGCAAATAGTTCTTATACTTTATGCAAAAAACAAAATACTTAAAAGGAAAAATCAATGCATTGGACCTCATCAAACAAAAAACTTTTGCTCTTTGAAAAACCCTGTAAAGGAAGATAAAAAGACAGGTTACAGACTGAGGGAAAATATTTGCAAATCACGTATCTGACAAAAGACTAACATTTGGAATATGAAAAGAACTCTCAAAACTCAGCAATTAAAAAATCCATTTAGAAAATGGTCAAAAGACATGAACAGAGATTTCACTGAGGTGGATATATAGATGGCAAAGAAACACATGATAAGATGCTCAACATCATTAGCCATCAGGGAAATGCAAATTAATACCACAGTGAGATCACTACACATCTATCAGAATGGCAAAAATAAAAAATAGTGACAACATCTAATGCTGGCAAAAATGTAGAGAAACTGGATCACACATAAGTTGCTGGTGCAAATGTAAAATGGTGCAGCCACGCTGGAAAACATTATGATAGTTTCTTTTAAAATGAAACATGCAACATATCCAGCAATTGCATTCTTGGGCATTTATGCCAAAGAAATGAATACTTATGTTCACACAAAAACCTGCTGGCAACTTTATTTATAATAGTCAAAAACTGGAAACAACCCGGATGTCCTTCTATGAGTGAACAGTTAGGCAAACTGTGGTACATTAATAACATGGAATACTACTCAGCAATAAAAAGGAAAGGACTACTGATACATGCAACAACTTGCATGGACCTTAAGGAAATTAAGGAAATTAAGCCAAGTGGGGAAAAAAAAGCCAGGCTCAAATGTTATACTTCGTATGATTCCATTTATATGACATTCTTTAAATGACATAATTATAGAGATGGAGAACATATTAGTGATTACGGAGGTTAGAGACCGCGGGTATGGAGTGGGAGGGAGGTGGGTGTGGCTTTAAAAGGGGAAAATGTGGGACCTTTGCAGTGACAATACTGTTTCATAACTTGACTGTGTAGATGATACACGAACACACATGGATAAAATCGCACAGAACTAAATGCATGCACACACATACACAGGCGTGCAAGTAAAACTGGAGAAATTTGAGTAAGATTAGTGAATAGTAATAATTTCCTGTTTGTGATAGCATACTATAGTTTTGCAAAAAGTTACAATGGGGAAAACTAGGTAAAGGGTACACAGTATCTCTCTTTTACTGCTTACAACTGCATGTGAATCTACAACTATTTCTAAATTAAGTTTAATTAAAAAAAAGGCCAAGCCATAGTACTCCTGTAGCTTGCCCAGGATTCTGCAAAGTCTGAAGTGAGGTTAGGAATACAACCATAATTCCCAATTCTCAGGTTCTGAATGGGTTCATTTTAAAGCTAGATCTTGCAGTTGAAAATGAAAAGTGTTAGCAGAAGTTTCAGATTCATGACACATCTAGATCCCTAAACAACTAGCCTACAACTTCAAGGATCAAGTTTGGTTTTGTTCATTAAATATTTCCAATTGTTAGCACACAGTGCCCAGGATTTAGCTCACACTCAACAAATGTTTTCTGAACACATAAATGAGTGAACAAATGAATAATTCAACTGACTGTCTCCCTTTCCCCCCACTCATAATCCTCTTCCAATCCACCCAGTAGACACAGAGATAGCATGCAACTAACCTTTTTTGTTGTTTTGCGGAATCTCTTCTTTTTGACATTCTTAAGCGGTGGAGTAACTAAAATAAAGTCAACATGGTGAAATGTATGTATGACTGATGGCAGTCCCATATCTATCTGAATCTGATAGAGAAAGGTGATGCTGTAAGCCACTGGCTCATGACATGACTCATTCCTTTAAGAGTCTCTGGATGCCTACTGAGCCAAATACCTAAGTGTGGTAACACATCCCTTGCTCACAAGTAACTAGAATTCAGCAGATAAATGTAGTCAGCCAGAATGAGCTAGGGGCTGTTGACTTACTGCCATGCTTCCAGGCATATTTTTTTGGTTTCTCCTTTTCAGTTTTCTTGACTGCTTTACGACCAGTAGAGGTAACTGGTTCCTCAGAAGAGCGGACACCACCAGCAGCAGTGCACACAAGCATCTACATTTAACAAAGATAAAGAAGTTGACTATGGCTACACATCTTGGGTTAGTAATGAATCATGATCATTCTTGCCATCAGAAATCCTGGATCATAGAAGTAAAGAGAATGTTACTTGGCATTTCCAGAAAACCCAAGCATTATACACGCTCATATTCATTCTCTCCCTGTCCATCTTGGCAGCACTGCATATATGGACTCTGAGGGGTTTTGTTTGTCTTTTTTACCTTGAATGCTTACCACTACAGAAGGAATATGTTGAGAACAGATATATCTTAGCAATTTGATTTAGAAAGGAAACAAACAAACAAAAAACAGTGGAGACGATGAATAAGAACCAATGTAAACCTCCAGAGTTAACAGCGCCCTGCTTTAGTAGAAAGTTCAGAAGATTCCAGATGCTCATATTTTTCAAATAATGAAAATCACTATAAATGGCAAACAGGAGGTTCTGAAAGCTATTTGGATAAAATAAAGTAGTGAAAAGTTACGAATCAAACACCAAACCAGAACATGACACTGTATTCCTGTGCAACTGAGCTGGAAATTAGAAATGACAAGCAGCTGAAAGGAGAACTGAAAGAAAGTGAAAAGGAGGGAGAAAGGAATTTCTTGAAAGATGTGAGGACTAGTAGATTAAGAAAACTTGTCCATACCTGGGAAATATCCGCCGTTTTATAAAAAGTTTTTTTATCCACAGTTTTCAGGCTTCCAATAACACAAGGCAAATCAACCAGCTTAGCAGCTAGTGAGACATTGTCTACCTCAACAACTGCATGACGTCCATCAGCTGAAGAGAAGTAGAAAAGATTAAAGTTGACATCTTCCCAATGCACTCCTAAGACCCCCAGGGTTTGAATAATGAAGACTTACGTGGAACAGACTGGTCTTTCATTGAAATTTACTATTTCTCATAATGCTAGAATCGCATACACCATTAGTAACTCCCCAGAGAAAAGAAGGCAGCTCTTTTTCCCCAGTTTATGTCACTTGACCAAAAGTAGCTAAGTTTCTTGGTAATGGTTGTGAAATAAACGTGGACGAAGTGGTAAATGTTTCATTTTCATCTTGAAAGGCCAATTCCATTCTTTCAAACCCATTCATTTGGACACCATTAGAAGCATTCAATCTTGTCATTGTACATGGATGTTTTTAAAGGGTTGGGTAAGGGAAGGTTTGATTCTAGAATAGTGCTAATAATTCTCAAGTTATACTCTCTAGTTAGCTTCACAAAGATAAAATTCTACACAATCGCCATATATATTATGTATGTATATAAAATATATGTATGGAGAGAGGAAGAGTCATATACTGACAACTCTAAATCCTTCCCAAATGTCTCAAACATAAATGTCTTTTGATACAAGAGTGTTCAAGTGTAATATTCTAATATTAAGTGAAAAAAGAAAGATATAGAACCATGTTTGACACCATCCTTTCCGTGTAAATTATCTTTAAAAATAGAGAGATTATTTAAATGTTGGTGTTATGCATAAAAGTTTTGTCTATAAAGAAACACAAGGAGAAACGGTTAATATTAGTTATCTTTAGCCATTAAGGTTGGGATGCTGTTAAGGAGAGTTTCACTTCTCCTTTTGAACCTTTGTGTTTTATTTGAATTTTCTAGCCATGCACTTGTATTCCTTTTTTTTTTCACGTCAATAAGGGCTACCCGAATGCTGGGATTATGGGCCATTTTAAATTTTATTCTTTATATACTTCTCTGTATTTAAAAAGCCTAATAAATACTATTTGAAAGAAAGAAAGATATGTCACTTTTGTAAACAAAGAATAGTGCATTTACGTGTCATTCCCCTGGACAGTCAGAAATCACAAAGTTTGCATTTGGAGACAATCAGCAGTATGCAAATCCTGCGGTTGACCCCCAAGTTCTTCCTTATATACACCATGATCATTACCTCAAGTTGCGTAAGTTCTGCTTCCTTTCTTCTTAAAAGAAGAGATGGGAGTGACCAAAGCCTCTCTTAAAAGCATCAAGGCAGAGACCATATTCTATTCTTTTGTCATATCCTTCATCCTTGGTATCTAACAGAGGGTGTGGCACATAGCAACCCTTTAATAAATTACTGTTCAATGTATGGCAAATGGATATTAACTACTTACAAGACAAGTCAATTTTTAGTTTATCCTTCATGGTGGCACTTTGAGAATGTATTATCTTCCTGACAGTAGAAGCCTGTTCCTAAAAAGGAGGTAAATTGAAAAGTCAGAAGGTGAATTGTATAATTAGCAGCTAATAGAGTAGGTAGCCAGACACAGTCCTCCCTTACATAAAACCTTAAACTTCCCCAACGTTAGGAACAACGCTATGTACCAGGAGCTACTGTGTGCTGTGTAAGTCAGGTCAGGATGGGCTGACTCTAATCTCATTGTTGTCTTTTAGTAGCTATAGAGAATGCCTTTTCCTAGTTTTAAATTCCTGCCTCTCATTGTTACCCTTCAGTTCTAGTTGCTAAGGGAAGGCTTAGCTGCAGCTTACTGAGTATATTAATTAACCCTAATTGGAGAAACACCTTTCTGAAGCCTATTCTTAATATACCTTTCTTAGATTAAATAATACTTGAATACAGGTATCAATAGGGGAAAAGACTCTAACATGATGCTGAGATGAGCTTCAACAGCCTTGTATGGTGAGGAATTTAGGGAGACAGTCCCTCTCACTGCCCCTTTAGAGGTGACAGAAAGGAACTCTCTTTCAGAAGAGTCTTATCTTGGCTGTCCAGTGAGCAAGGCTATTAGCATCTGTGATAAGTGACTGAACCCATCACCGTTCCATCTGTTTGCCAGGAAATCAACCCACACGATAGGTGGCATGTGCAGGACAAAAGAAATGTTGCTTAAAAGAGTATACCCTAGGACAGGACTGCTTAATAGGACATGACTGCTGGGAAACAAATGTTCTCGGTTTTCCTAGCCTACCTTAAATAAATAGAAATGCTACAGCATCCAAGCAGAGCTAATAATTATGCACTGAAGATTTCTGGTCTGAGACACAAAGGGTTTCTTACCGGAGGCAGACGCAATATAAACTGGTTTTCAAGTTCGTGAGGAGGTTCATCCTGGCTTTTACTCATCTCTTGTTTTTGAGTTCATGAAAACAAAAACAAAACCAACAGAAAGTTACCAAAAACTCCTCTTGCTCCCTCTACTGACCACTTCTGATAGTACTGGTTTAAATTATACAAGATCTTGCTGATAACCCTCAATGGAATGTGCGGACAGCTCTGAAATATCTTATTTTACCATAACTTGATTATTTCTAAAAGTCACCTTATCTCCTCTCCAATATGTGCAGATTTTCCAATGGTAATCATAATTACATGACAACAAATGAAGTAAGAGCTGTTGCGCATGATTTAGTCTTCTTAATATTCTTATATTCTCAGGTAAAAGACTATTTGGTGACTACCAAAGCAGGCTACATACCTCTGCAGAGAAAGTGCCAACCAAAGGCTGAAATCAATCCAAAAACCACTGGCAGAAATGCCCTATGATGATTTGAAGGAAATAGCTTAATTTTCATGATTTCATTCACCTTAATGGGAGGAATTAAACAGTCTGTGGGAGAACAGGCAGCATTTTATGACACTAGAGCTAATTGTTGAGTTCTGAGCCATTTTGGGGAAAAGTTAGGAGTCTCGATCTTACGGCTAGGCTATCTACATAAGTACACCTAACTTCATGGAATAGATGCATTTCCGAAAGGATATGAAAGAACGTAAAATCCAATTTGATTTATTCATTCTTAACATTTCCTGCATGCACTCTATGTGTCAAGCCCTACATTGAGTGCGTTAGGTCTATTATTTCATTTAATCCTCACAACCACCACTTATTTGAAATACCCCTAAAAGCTATCCGTGGGAATCCAAGATGGATCCCTTTATATATATAAAAAATACACCTCTGTAAAGCAAATCATCTCCAAGTTAATCTTTATTTTTCTTCTTATTTTCCATCTATTCTGGGTATATCTGTAGCAGCCTGCATTTTCGGTTTTAGGGTGCACACTACTTCTGAGGAAATTTTTTTCTCAAAGATGGAAAGAAAGCAACGTACATCTGTGAAACTGACAAAGTTTTCTTAGGTTCAAAGGACACTATGCTGTACATTAAATTGTAAAATCTTATACTTTAGATGAAAAGTTCCAGATAATGTACAACTTCTAATATTCCATAAACCCATCCATTGAGTTCTGAGATTTGAATTAGAATCTCACTTAAAATCACTGAAACCTTAAAATATCACATACAAAGAAGCAGGCTCACAGATATAGAGAACAAAGTAGTGGTTACCAGTGGGAAAAGGGAGGGGAGGGACAGTTTAGGGGTAGGGGATTTAGAGGTACAAACTATTATGTATAAAATAAGGTACAAGGATATATTGGACAACACAGGCAATATAGCCAACATTTTATAATAATTATAAATGGAGTATCACCTTTAAAAATTGTGAATCACTCTACTGTACACCTGTAATGTAATACTGTACATCGACTATACTTCAGCAAAATAAAAGAATTGAAAAAAGAGGGGAACAAAGCATATTAAGCATTACCAGTTAAAATAGAGTAAAATAAGAGTAAAAACAGGGAAAAATGAAAAACCAGCAAAAACACATACAAATGCATCTGAGACCCTATTACAGGTAAGTTATTCACCAGTTATTATTTCAGTCCTTTAGGTTGACTTCAGAAACTACCAAAAAAGCACAAGAGAAATCAGGAGTGAAAAATTAGACACCCAGGATGAGAGAGAGAGATAAGGGGAGAAAAAGAGAGAGATTATTTGTGATAGTCATTTCTTCTCTTTTTGCTTCATACAGTTATACAAACACACATATAAATACAGAAGCTAAATGTAAAGGTAAGGGGAAAAATTAAACAAAATAAATTAAATAAAGACTCTTAGGACTGGGTACATTGCCTAACACGAGAGTAACAAACACTTAAGGTTGGGAGTAGAAACACAGATTTGAAGAACTAGCTGCTAAGCAAGATTTTATCAGATCAATAGTAACTTTTAGATTTCTCAGCAGAACTAAGACTAGAGCATTCTGTTCATTTCCATGCCTTTCTGGCAACTCCTCTCTTATGAAAGAAAGAATGTAAGAACCAAAACTATTTTAGAGAAGGAGGACACCCCTGGTTGAAATGACTTTTAATGATTTTTTTTAAGATTTGTTATGTGCATTTATACAATGAACTGGTTGTATTATACTTATTTTAAGAAAAAGCATCCCCTTTCTTCCAGCAAGCACTCTTTGATAATTAAAATAACAGGACCACTCTCCACTATTCACCCCCACCCCCAGCTCCATCTCACTTCAGGGGAATTAGGATTGGAATTGGAATTATATACAGTTAGACGGAGGGCGCTTGATAGCACGCTCCCAGCAGCACAAGTCAGCACAAGCCTAAATTGGTACTTGCTCAAGTTCATAGCCGCTGGCTGCAGTTCGGAGGCAGTGACACTTTCATCCTTATCCCAGGGGCACTAACCTCCCAAGGGAAGCGTGCAAGCTCCTAGGCTTTGATCCCATTTCCCTAGAAAACCTCCCGCGGGGCCAAGGGGCCCCAAGCCTTCGCGCCACCCCGGAGGACCGGAGAGGGAAACACAGCGCGGCGCCGTTTGGCGCTGACTCGGCGCCGGGTGCCCTCGGACGGCCGGACTCACCCGCTCCTCCGCTGACTCGCGCCAGGACCGCCTTTCTCCCCTAGGGGGTTCCGAACG